GGCCCTCGGGAGCTGTCAGAAGCTCAGCTCCACATTTCTGCTACCCACTCTGGGATCAGCAGATGCTCCCAGGATAGAACACCAGCGTCATCTCTCTGGTTCTCTCCATCCTTGCTTGAATCGTAGCCTGGCAGTTCCTCACTATCTTGTAGTTCTCGTGTGCCTTCAAGGAGATGTGTGTGGTACTTCTGTCCAGCTCTTCTAATTGTTCTGAGTCTTAGGACTGATTAGGATGACCTAGTCTGCCATCACTGGCAGTGAAAGTTCTCTGTTTCATTTTTAACTTAAGACATTCATCAGACTTAGTAAACACCTCTGGTAGCACCGTAGGTTAATATACATCCAGCCTACAGCTCCCAGATCCCCACTGCTCTCTTAATAGACCCTTTATGGCACGAGGCGCCCAGACTGAGTATCTTGGTGTTGCAGCTTGCTGGGTTCTAGGTGTTTAGGAGTCAGCTAAGGTCTTACTCCCTGCCTTCATGAAGTCTGCCGTCTGCCCTTCCCTTTCTAAAGCCTTCCAACTTTCATGGGCCAGTATTCCCATTCAACATCATCTCTGTCCTCAGCTGATCTCTTGAATTGCTATGGTCATGATTTCAACTGTTCCTCCTCTGAGTGAACTCTCTCCCTGCCTTCTTACTGTTTTCAAGGCAGTATAGGTCAGTGTGAGCCTGGCATGCAGGTCTGGTCCCATCCTTCTCTGTCTCATGGCCTGTAAACCACTCACCCTCAACTGTACCCCAGTCTCTTAATGAGGCTGTTTTGGCACATACTAGTTTGTCCTCCTAGATTTAGCATCACCTCCACTGGGAAGTCTTCCCTGATTCTCCCAGGCTACATTTGAAGCCAGTGTCTGTGTCTTATTTCAGCATCTCTAGTACTTGGTGCTTAAGAGGTGTCAATTAATGTGGAAATGAGCTCCTTTCCCAAGTTTCAGCATCCCCTAATGCATTGTCTTTTCCACCTTTTCCCCCAGGAACCTCAGTCATTTTTCTGGCTCTTAGTGGGAGGCAGGCCAGTTGCTTATCCACCTGCATCCCCCAGACACACTGAGTTCACAGACCTGTGGGACACTGTGACAGTGGACTGCCACCTGCTGGTGGGAAGGTTTCTAGGCCAATAACTGGAAAGTTTCTAGGACAGTGACAACTTAGGGCTACAGACAGAGGAGGCATTCTTAATCTTAAGGCATTCCACAAAGAATATGAACTCCTCCGAAGAATACCTTCAAATGCAGAGCATAAAGTACAGAGATTACAAGTGAAACCAATCAAAGTGAAACAGAGGTGTCAAAATATTAGAAACACTATTATTTATGTGTGACATATATATATGTATTGACATTAAGTAACAGTATCTAGCGATAAGCCCAACAACTACTGTAATTTCAAAATGACAAACGAAAATGGTAATTGGAGATGCCTGCAGCAGCTCTAATGTGAGGTGAAATCTCTGATTTCTACTGTTGGCACAGTCTCAAGTACTGGTAATAACAGAGATTGTTGCCTACACCCATAAAGAGAGGGATTGCTGAATTCCAGTTAGAGGTTTGTGACACTAAAGACCAAATCTTACCCATCCTGGTAGAGAGATACCCTGAATTCTACTCATGGATCCTTTGTGTGTGTGTAGGGGGCGGGGGTGGTCCATGGGCCCTAGGTTAAGAACCCATGAATGGGCTTTTAGAGGCATGGCAGACACACACTTTTAAATATGGCATCGATGGCTAGTGGTTTAAGTGTGTGTGGTTCTGTTGAGTGTAATGGGCATAACTGGCAGGACAGGAGATGTGGAGGAGGCAGGGAAGTTCGAAATTTGAATCCCATAGGCGTCACTTACCAGTGTTGTGAGCTTCAGCCTGACCCTCTCCTTACCCAGTGTCTGTTTCCTCATCTGTGAAACAGGAATGGCAAGGTCTTCCTCCCGGGTTGTTGGAAGGATTCAGTAAGTTAACGTGTGAGAACTCTTGGGGGTCAAATGTTTGCTGTTAAATGAGAATATTAAATGTCTGTAGAGAAAACACACACACAAAACCAAGCGTAACTTCTTTCAGAACAGAAACCCCAAAGTCTGACTTGCTGTCCAACCTGGAAGGCACCAGTGTACTCAGAAGACAGTAAACCCTTCCCTGCCCAGCAACTGTGGGCTAGTCTGCCCTGCTTTGCCCACCTCAACCCAAGAGAACAGCCCTAAACGCAAAGAGTTTCTCACGCTGTTATTTTATTAGAAGCATATTTACACTCTTGCAGTTAACTGTGCAGAGAACATTTTACAAAAGTTTTGTATAAAGATCAAAAACTACATAAAAATAACTTCTATTCTTCATAAAGGGAAAAATATAAGTTAGTTATATTTACTCTGCTAAAAACTGAGTGAAAATGAGAAACGCTTCTGTCTGTCCCTTCCAGAGAAAACATTAGCACAGAGCACGAGGAATACTGCATGGGCCTTCTCAGTGACAGTCACTGCACACGGGCCCCACCGGGAAGCTGGGACACCCAACCAGACCCCATCCAGAAAGGACAGGGGAGCTGTGGGGGCTCGGGCAGCGCTGAGCAGGAAGCAGAAAGTCCTTGAATGAGATTCCATTGTGAATAATAAGCCAAAGAAGGAAATGATCAAAGACTTTGGCCTGAACCATGAAACTGGCATTCCACCTAACTGTCATTCTCACACCCCAGGCTGCAAAAGGCAGTGTTGTAAATAAAAGCCCAGACCAGCTCTGCCACTGGTCAGTGCCTGACCCTCCGCCAGTGCTGGCCTCGCCTGGTGGGACTGGGTCTGTGTTAGTTCATGTTTTCCTGGCACCCATGCACCAGAGAATCAAAGGGGACACTTATTTGACTTGTCTCATTTTTGTGAGACCTTTCAGATTGCCCCATCTGGTTCAAATACTGAAGCAGGTAAGCTGAGTGCTCATTAACCTGAGGACCAGCGCCGTCCCACAGCCCCCAGAGCATCTTTACTGTATATAGATGACTCGGGGACCCCAAGTCCCTTTTTCTGTTGAATGCTACCCTTCCTCCGAAAGATCCAGTTATAGCCAGTGCCCAGAAAACTCCAGGGAATTGCTTTAGAAAGACAAAGCACCAAGCCTTAACCTATAGGAGTGAAGAAAGAAAAGTCCACCTGGGGTGTGTCAGTCACCCTATCACCAGCAAAATGCTACCCAGGCTCAATACAGCCATTTGATTCTTCAAAATCACCTTCGGTTTTCTGGGTTTTTTTTACAGCAGGTATTCCTAAAAAAGCCATTCATTTATATTTGTATCAAGTTAGAGATAAAGATGAAAAAAGTTTTCTTTATAAATAAACCGAATACCGGTTTGAGCATTTGCTTAACTGGATAATCTACACTGTGCAACCTGTGAGGACTGGAATTTGTGGGAGGCCAGCTGAGCCACCCACAGGCCCACAGTTCCATCTGAGATAAAGAAGCCTTGCTTCTGCCAGGTGCCTGGGGGCTGGAAGCGCTACATTTCTCCCTGTTGCCTTTTCTTCCTGAATAGGAGTCCCAGGGACTGCCAGCCTCTGTCTGAAGCATAAAGCTGGACTTGGGAACTCGGAGGGACACAGGGCAGAGGGAAGCGGCCTTCCCGTATCACCTGCAGACAGGATGGGCAAGTGGAAGACAGAATGACTAGGTTGGGAAAGTCTTCCGGGGGTGAGAAATTTATCCCTGAACATAGGATCCCACACGGGAGCCAAAAGGAGTCACAGGCTAGCAGCACACCCCAGACCAACAGCTCCACCTAATGTGCTCAGATGCACGGTCTCAGGCAGCGAACATGTTTCAGTCTACCTGGCATAAGAGGCCCAGGGCAGAGGCAAGCCTGGGTAGTGCCAGCGGGCCAAGGTGTGTGTGTGTCTGTCTGTCTGCCTGCCTGCCTGCCTGTGTCTGTGTGTAGGAGGCGTGTGTGCACAGGAAGGAGCGATAAAGATGACATGAAACACCTGAGATCAGCAGAAGGAACAGTTCGGGCTCTCCCCATTCCCACCGTTGCAGGCATGTCTCAAGAGAAAAGCAAACTGGGGGACTAGAGGAATGAGGGGCCCTCTGACCAGCTGGCTGCAGACCGGGCCCCACTGGGAGTCAGAGCAGCTGGGAGGAGCTGTAACTCTTGTCTGACAGTGCAGGAAGTGTCTGAAAGCCACCAAGAGTTACACCATGGATGAGCCCGTGGTGACTTCAGGTGTAGCGCTCTGTGTCCACAGACAGCAAAACTGGTGTTTTGGCAAACAGGAGGGGCCTTGAGGCCACAGAGCACCTATTCCTCCTGGCCCATGGCCCCACCAGGCAGCCCAAATCACCGACAGCTGGCAGGGACCCAGGGCGTAAAGAGAATATACATTAGGATCAGGCAACACACGTTAAAACCTCGCCTGCGACGAGTGAGCGAGAAGTCAGGAACACTGGGGCGTATCTGTCGGGCACAGCTGGGGCGGCACAAGGCCGGGGGCTGGATTTGAGCTGACATGGAAGCAAGAGGGAAGGGGGTCCTGAGTTACTTGTTCACAGAGAACGGGACGGCCCCAGAGGCCTGCCGGCCTGTCAGCCACAGTCCTGGGCGGCTGTTAAGGAGCATCCGCAGAGCTGTAGGAGAAGAACTTGGTGGCCTTGTTTGGCGTGGTGGGGTTCGGGCTCTCTGTCTCCTCATTCATTTTGAAGAACATCTCCTGCTCTCGCTTCTTCTGGTTCAGATCTTCTTCCAGAGCCTAAGATAGAGAGAGGGCAGATGAAGCTCGGTTGGATCCCACAGGACCCCCAACAAAGTGGCCTTCTCTGGAAGTTTCCCTCCCAGGCCTTCGTGCTTGGGTAACCTGGCCTTCCCTCTTTCCTTTCCCACAGCCCAGAAGGTAAGGACCACCTCCCTTCTCCTGCCACAGCCACATGGGAGTTTCCTGTGGGCCAGGGGCTCTGGTTTGGAGAAATGCCAATCCAGGCAGGGCAAGAGAGAGAAGCAGATGCAGACCTGCTGGCAGGGAAACAGCCAAGTGAATGGAGAAAAACCTGAGGTACAAATTAGAGCAGGAGATGTAACAGCGGCGGGGAGCAGAGATGTCCAAGTTACGCAGTGCTCCTAACCAGGGCACTGTCCCACACAGTCAGGGGAGCTCTTTTCAAAAGACAAGTGCAGTCATGCCCCCACTGAGATTCTATTCTGAAAATCTCCAGTAGGACAGGGGTCTCTATGTTGTAAAAGCACATCCTGGAACTCCGAGGGGAGCTTCCCTTGGGCACATTGCAAGTTTATCTAGATAAATTGGATCCTACCAGAAAAATTTCTTGAGGCTTCTCCCAAAATAAGCATTCAATTAAGAAAGGAAGCAGAGTGCAGAGAAAGACCATGAGCTTTCCAGTCTGACAGAACTCAGCTTCGTGACCAGCTCTGCGGGCCTCTGCATGTTTACCTCTCCTCCCCAGGTCCCTTTCTTCTCGTGTAAAATGGCAATATCATCTGCCTGGCAGGGCGGTTACAGATACTAAGTTTAAAACTAAGGAGCTATACTTACTTAGTACTTCCTGTGCCAAGCGCTATAGTAAGTGCATTATAGCTTATTTAATCTTCACCCTATGAGACAGATGTCCCCATCTTATAGATGGAGAAACTGAGGCTCAGGGAGCTTAGGTCACTTGCCCAAGGTCCCTCAGCTAGCTGGAGGCAGGGCCAAGATGGGTCTAACTTCAGAGTTCAAGCTCTGAAACACTGTGCTTCACTATCTGCAAAGCCGGGCACATGTGGTTACTCAGTAAATGTGGCTTCATTAGTAAGAGGTGTCTGACCATCAGCCAGATTTCCTTACTTTCCCAATAGAAGTATCTACTTTCATAGGATTTGAAAACTATTCTTTGGATGCCCTGATACAGTCTCAGTAAATAACTTAATTACCAGATACCCCCATAAGCACTTGTTCCTTCAGTTGTACTAAATTCTAGTGAGTTCTCTCTGCCTCTTAGACAAGATGGGGAACAGACACTGGATCACAATGCCAATTCTCCCAATCTGTTATAAAACATCCATATGAGGGAGGGCAAGGTATTTCAAGTCACGCCCCATCTTGGACTTGACTGATGTGAAATGTCTTGCAATTCACAAAATTCTTGGCTCAGGTTCTCTTTTTCTGGATATATTAATATTCAAGTGTTTGTGACAAGCAAACATTATTATAAGTAATATAAAAATAGTACTGTTTAAGCTTTTATAAGAGGTTACAAAATCTAGTGTCTGTAGGAGCCAGCAGGTGAATTAAACGAGTGAAGAGAGCTGGATGTGAGGCAGTAGAGGGTGGTAGGGACTGCAGTGAGGTGAAGAGCCTATGCAGTGTCTGAAGAGGGCAGTTTCTCCTCAGCTCCAGCTGACTGCTGTCATGAGGTATGATGGGCTAGAGCTCCTGGGTTTTCAAAACAAACTGGAAATCCAGATTTTTATGTAAAAGTTCTTTACACTTAAAAAGTTGGCAACTTAAAAAAGAATTTTTAATTGCTGTGTGTTGGTCAAACCTAACATCTGTAAGCCAATTTCAGCCCACAGGCCATCAGTTTGTAACTTCTGCTATAGGACTACAAATTTAATTGTAATAGCTACCACTTTTTTGAGCACAGAGAGGTTTAGTAACTTGTCCAGGGTCTCACAGCTGGTAATGGGGAAGCTAGGACTTTCTCCTGCATCTGTCTTACTTCAAGGCCTATGCTCTTAAGCACTACTCTGTATTACCTCTATATAACCTAAGGTAAGAGTCAGTGATCTTTTTTTATGTAAAGGGCCAGGTTGTAAATATCTTCAGCTTTGCAGACCTTAAGGTTTCTGTCACAACTACTTAATTGCTGTTGTAGTGTAAAATCAGCCATACACAATATGTAAATGAACGAGCATGGCTATGTTCCAATAAAACTTTTATTTACAAATGCAGACAGTGGGCCAGATTTGGCCTTCCCTTCTGTTTCAAGGGAAGAAGTGTTACCTTCATCTTATATCCCCCAAAAGCAAGGTTCAGGGGCAAGACATGTCTGAGGCCACATTCTGAGTTAACTATGACCCAAGCAACACTTTATTGACCCTACCAATATATTCTGTACTTGAGAGAAAGAAATCTGAATTTTCCTAAAAATATTGTACAATGTACAATCATTTCCCCTGCCCCACCGCCCCCCATGCATGGGCAGCAGGTCAAGGCTGCTGACTGAAACGCAAGAGTGTAAAGGAATGTTTATTCCAGAATGAAAATCATCACTTCAAGGTCAGCGTTCCAGCAGCAACCCACGTAACTAATGACAGAATAATTCTACAAAGAACTCTGGAAAGAGGCAGCCCCCGCAAGCAAAATCCAAAGCCAGCTCTCCAAACACATGCTTGTGGTACCTCCCCTAAGCCCAGGCGCCCCCACGAAGATATGAGGCAGCTGCTAGAGGCAACGTGATCGTTTTCAAACCCTCTCAGGATGTGTCAAGGGTATAGAACCCCCAGGTAAGAGAACCAGGCGAACGTTTATTTCCTGATGCCTGAGTCAACCTATGTCAGTAGGAGCATTATTGATTTGAGTGTCAAGTAACAAAAGTCCTAGCAGGCCGTGGTTATAGACGAGTGTGGGCCTGTTCACGACAAGGTCTGGGGCCCTGGCCAGCTTCCAGCCAGAAAGCTCCATTAGCACAGGGAGGGAAGACCCAATTCAAGGACTTCCAAGGCCATTATGTGGCTGAGGTGGGCAGCTGCCTCCTGTCCAGACCACAGTTACAGCGAGCAGAGCTCAAGTGGCAGGACAAATCTCAGGGCCCAAGGACATATGGTCAAGGGTAATCAGGGCAGCTCTTCCCTCCGAGTTCAGGAGAGTGGAAGGAAATGAGTACGTCCTTGGCCTGTACTGTGGGCTGGTGACTTTTTATATAACACTACACAATATTCGTATCTTCATCTTACAAATGACCACACTGAGGCCCTGCGATGGTTCATTTATTTGTCAACCTGGCAAAGCCATGGTAGCCAGTTTGGTCAAAGCCAGTCTAGATGTCATTGTGAAGGGGTCTTTTAAAGATGTGATATAACATTTAACTCAAGTGACGCTGAATAAAGCAGACTACCCTCCCTAATGGGGGTGAGTGTCATTTATCAGTGGATCCTTGAGAGAAAAGACTGAGGTCCCCCTAAGGAAAGAAGACTGTGCCTCCAGATGCAACAGCAGCTCTTCCCTGGGTCTCCAGCCTGCAGTCTGCCCTGCAGGTTTAGACTTAAGAGCCCCTACACTCAGGTGAGCCAGTTCCTTAAAATAAATCCATAAATGTGTGTCTCATCCATACCTCTGTCTATCTCCACACCCTAGGCAGACACCTGTGGCACATCATGGAGCCGAGAGCCGAGCCCACCAGCCTGGACAGGGTTACCTTTTTGCGTGGCCGGAGCTTGTCCCGCCAGTCCTTCAGGTTCTGGTTGTGGCTTTCGTCCAGGGCCTTCAGCTTCTGGGTTTCATGCTCTACCAGGAGGTGACACTTTTCATTCTGGAACATATTCCAGGCAGAACAGGTAAGAAGCACAGAGGGCGGAGACACACCTTATGCTGTAGCCATCATTCATTACTTCTCCTTGATTATAAATCCCATTTATACGAAACTCTATGCGTGTAAATGCATATGCACCAAGAGGTGCCCAGAAGGATATTCCAGAATATTAACAGTTCTTACTGTGTAGTGGGATCTGCAGCAGTTTTGCAGCTTTCTCACTTCTGCTTTTTTGCATTGTTTGAATTTTTCAACATGAATGTATATGTTATTTTAACAAAACAATAAAACTATTAACAATAAATATGTGCCCTAATCCCACCACACAGAGGCAACCACTAAAAATATTAGATGTATTACCTATCAGTCTCTGTCCTGTATATATAACTCTGAAACCTGCCTCCCTCGCCTCTTAACATTGTAATATGAACATTTCTATAAAGAATTAATTTTTTATAATCATTTTTAATGCCTACAAAATATCCCACAATATGGATTTATAAAACTTACACATTCTCCTATTTTTGGCCACTTAGGTTGCTCTTAATTTTCACTGTTTTTTGGGGTTTTTTTTTGAGTAAAGGTAGATTTATTCAAAGAGATACATTGAAAGGCAAGAGAAAGGTCACGAGGTGTGGGGGTTGGGTGCTCAGATTAAAAGTAGCTACACACTCCATAGACAGAGTGCGGGCCATCTCCAAATGGGGGGAGAGAGAGAGAGGCCAATTTTCACTGAATAGCATTGTGTTAAACATCTGTGCTATGGACTGAATTGTCTCCTCCAAATTCATATGTTGAAGCCCTCATCCCCAGTGTGATGGTATTTGGAGATGCGGGGCCTTTGGGAGATAATTTAGGTTTAGATGAGGTCAAGAGAGTAGGGCCTTCCTGATGGGATCAGTGCCCTTATATAGGAGGGGACACCAGACAGCTTGCTCCCTCCCTCTCTCTCCATCTCCCTTCCTTTTCTCCCTCTTCCCTCATCCTTTCCCCCCCCTTTCCCTCCCACCCTCTCTCCCCGCGAGGACACAGCCAGAAGGCATCCATCTGCAAGCCAGGGAGAGAGGCTTCACCAGCTGGTAAAGCTGATCTTGGACTCCCAGGCTCCAAAACTGTAAGAAAATAAACTTCGGTTGTGTAAGCCACCCAGCTGTGGTGTGTTGTTTTGGCAGTGTAAGCTAAGATAATCTGCAAGTATCAGTATTTATTTATATAAATTATATGCATAAGTTTCTGCATCACATACCATTTCCTCAGTAGAGATCTGTGGCAGGGGATAGGGGCTGTGGGCCTGACCAGAGCTCTGCCAACCTCACCTCTCTCTCTCTGAGGTAAGTTATCTGCCTCAGAAAACTTACCTGGAATCTCTCACAGGCAGACGTGACCATACATTCCTCACAGGGAATCAATTTTGTGGTGTACAAGGAGCTTGAAAGCAAGGGGGAAAGGGCCTTTATCCAGACACCTCGACCCTACTGGGAAGGGTAGACCCCCTGGGGGGATTTTTATCTGGGGTTTCAAGCTCAAGGGTTTTGGGAGTTTAGGAATCGGTCTAGTTGGGAATAATACCAATAGCAGCCCTGAGAACCTCTGACCTGCCCCGAGCTGGGCGCCCAGCACTCTGCCTGGGTTTTCTCAGCTCATCCTCACAGGAACCCCATGAAGCAGGGCTGGGAAAACAGATAACAAAAGATGAGTGGCTACAATTCACACAGCAACAACCAGCACAACCCCTACCTAACAGGCTTCAACACCTGTGATGTTTCCTTCACTCTTCCCTGCCTTTCCAGAAATTGCCAGAGGGATCCGGTAGCCTAAACAATTTCCCAAGGTCACAGAGGTTTGTGACCATCCCTCAGGTAGTAATGCCTCGCTCCACCACAAGGGGGCTCCAAGTACCAGCCCCTGGGCGGGGGTCCCTTAGGGTGAGGCTGAGTCCGGAGTGGAGCATCGCGGCTCTCCCTAGGGAAAGGGGGTCACAAAGGGGCTTGGCAACCCCAGGATACCTTTTCCTGGCCTTCGTGGGAAAGTTTTGAGCTTGTCACCATTAAGGATGATGATAGCCGTAGGTTTCTGTAGATGTTCTTTATCAAGCTGAGGAAATTCCCCTCTATTCCTAGTTTACGCAAGAGTGTTT